GTGGGGGTTCCCTTGGGGCGTGTGATGGCCTGAGTCCTTAAGGGCCTGTGGTGGTTTGCAGGCCGGCCACGCCCCCTGGCGACTCAAGCGGAGGCCCTAGTATCTGGGATTTATGTACCTTCTACAATTGAAACTTTGTAGCCTGGAGCAGAGCCAAGCCTCCTGCTCGCTCTGTGGCTGCCGCCATTTTTATATGGGTTTGTTTACCTTCTATAATTGAAACTTTGTAGCCTTGAGTGGTGGCTTAGGCCGGCTAGGGCAGGCGGAAAGTTTGGCTTTTTCCATTGCCTGGGAAACCCAAGCCTCCTTCCTGCTGTCTGTGGCCATAGCCATCTTGGTTGGGTTTATTTGCATCCTCACTCTGATGGGCTGGTGGGTGTGGCTGGTGGGCATGGCTGGTGAGTGTAGCAGAATGATGGTTAACTTGCAGATTATTCTTTTATTAGGTAGGATTAGCTGCAGTGTCTGCCATCCCACCAACAACCCATCTGCATGGACCTCAATGCGGAAACCAAGTTGGTCTCTGACCATTTGTAGGTGGACATCTTCCTTTTTGGGGCCCACGCAGCACCTGATCATTGTTTTATAAGGGAAAAAAGTATGGTTTTCTGCCAGGACAAAATGCCGGCTTACTTATTATAAATCTGCTTCCACCCTCATCCCCAGTCATAATACCAATTTCAATGCTGCATCAAACTGTAATTTTTCTGAGACATAAAAATTAGCAACTCAAATTTAAGCTAAAATTTTACTAGTAGTGTATAGTAATATAGCACAAATAACTAAGAAAACAAGGAGATGATGAGATGCCCTCTATTGGGCAGGCATTAATAACCACTTCACCACATACTCTTCCATGGAGGGGCAGACAAGGTGCTTATGATATCAGCTATTGAAATGGTAACAGTATACATCTTAGAATGGAGGGAATAGAAAATGAAGGATTAAAGAATGAGTAGAAAGAAAAAAATAACTGCAGATGTAGAGGAATTCAAAGAATAGAAAATGATAGAAAAGTTGTGTTTGTTTTTTTTAAATTATGCCACACAAGGCTGATGAAGATGTCTGGTATACTCACTCAATGCTAGATGACTTTAGAAAGCAATTTGGTTATTTACACATATACACATACATATACATATATATTCTAAGCCATATTATTAATGCCTACTAAAATAAGAATGGCTAGCTCTGGCTGGAGTGGCTCAGTTGGAGCATAGTCCCATGCACCAAAACGTCACTGGTTCAATTCCAAGTCAGGGCATATACCCAGGTTGCGGGTTCAATCCCTGGTCACAGTGCCCTAATCAGGGTGTGTACAGGAGGCAACTGATCAATGTTTCTCTCTCATATCAATGTTTCCCTCTCCCTCTTTTCCTCTCCTTTCCTCTCTCTTTAAAACAAACAGAATATGCCCATTGGAAGCACCTACTGATAGAGTAGATATTCCAAGTGTAATTCATTCTCAGTCATTAGAGAAAGCCAATGAGATTTCAAACTGCAGCAAACTGTAAACCTAATCATATGGCCTTTCCTCATTTATTTTAACAGTTACGACTGAATTTCTTTATAAAGGTTAAGTACTGTTAACTATAATACACTAAGAAGGAATAGCTTCTATCATATTCACAGAAGTGCTCAATTTTAATTCTGTAAATCTTAATTTAATAAGCTCATATCTAATCTTGGAGTAATTACGTCAAGTTTGCACGTCTCATACTAGGCAGCGCACTCTGAACATCTGCAATCTAGACCTCCTCATTTGGGGATTCATGAATGACTGAAGAGACCCAACCCTGAAAGCATTTATTAAAATCGCCTCCTGAGTAAAATCAAGTGAAAGTTTGGAAGCAAAAACAAGAACATACTTGCAAAGCACTTTCCATTCCACTTTATATTCAAGTAACATGCTAATTATAAAAAACTTATTATTAAAAACCAATACTATTTAATTTGAAAGTACTGAAAATGGTTTCTTTTCATCATATCCTATAATTTCTGATCGCTTTTAATTCACGTGGATAGAACAGTCTCTTTTTATGCTTCACAACAAGAACTCTTCATCTTTCTGGTCTCAGGACCCCTTTCCCACTCTTAAATTTTACTGAGGATCTTAAAGAGCTTATTTCTATAGGTTACATTTATCTATATTTTCTGTATTGGAAATTTAAAGTGAATTCTTTAAAAAAAATATTACCTAATTAAACAAAAACAATAATCTCATTACATGTTAATATACATTAAAAAACAACAACTAGGCATAGGTATACTTAAAACATACCTATAGTTAGTGAAAAGGTAGTGTTGTTTATATTTTGCAAATCCACTAATGTGTAAATGAATAGGAAATACCTATGTTCTCATACTTCCTTCTACATTCAATTTGTCATGACATGCTGCTTTGGCTGAGGGACATGAAGATACTCCAGGCTTACCTAAATATGTAATTGGAAGAGGGCAGACTATTTTAATAAGCTCGTCAGATAACTGTGGTCATTTTTCTTTATTACAACTAAACTGTCCAGGTGATAGTTTCTTAAAGTTTAGCTGCAGTGCAGAATCTGGAAGTGTGTCAATAAACTTACGTACTCCACTACATTAAAATCCATTGGTTTATCTTGCACAGTATCAAAAAATCGCATTAGTTAATCTGCCTATGGACCTCATCAAAAAGTCTTTAAGTACTAGGAAGCTGTCAAGTTCACTAAGGTAGATACAAGTTTTCCAAAATTCTTATTTTTATTGGAAGTTCAAATTTTGTCTTTTGTAGCATTTGTTGTCAGCTGTTTTTCCTGATGTGGCAGGCAGGCTCCTGGCATTCGTTTTCAATGTGCACTCTAAGTTCCAGATGGGTAAGTGTCATGAAGAACATTCTTGGTGTGACTGGTTCTTTTATGTTTTTAAAACTGTGTGTGCATACATACCCCCATTGCTTCTGAGCCACCAGAGTGTGCATATCAGCAGTGTGCAAAAGGCAAATAATGTCTCCTTGTCATAATGAAAATAGTTTCGACCTTGTCAACCCACTAAAAGCATACTGAAGTACCCCCTGTGGGGTCCCACAGGCCACACTTAAAAAACTTCTGTTATCATTCAGTGACCCTCCAACCATCACTAAGTGGCAGCCACCAATTTAAAAAGGAGAAATGACCATTATTGCTTGTCCATGTTATCCACATGTATTATCCATCCTAAGAACGTTAATATCAGAAGGCTATTTCTATAATTCAAATTTAATATGAAAGCATGAAAAACAAGAGCTAGTTACCATACAAAGATAACAAAAGCTAAACAAACTAAATACAATGCAAACTTCCCTCCAAGAAATTTTAAACATAAAGTTTTCCTTAATTGTCTTCCCATTTGTTGGGCTGTTTTTGTGTGTGTTGGGCACTTGTAATGGAGACCTGGAGAGTCCTCCTCAGGTGGACTCCCTGGTCAGGATCCAGGGCATGAAGCAGTCAGGGAAAAGAGCAGAGGCACTAATGTCAAACTTAACAATTTCAAGACCCAAATCCCCACCCTGCAAGTAGCCTGTCCTTCCTAATCTCTGAGTCTTTGTCTTAGTTGAATACGAAGCAAATTCCACTAAATACCGTGAGGACTGGAGGAGATGCATGTAGAGCATTAGTGAGGCCCACAGCAGGTATTCAATAAATGGTCGCCACTGTTGTGAATAAGCTCCCCCAGAGGCAGCCAGGGGTCCCGCGAGGAGTGGGACACACATCCACATAATTATGACACAGCATGGGAACGGATTAACCACAACATGCGGTGGGAGTAAAAGGAAAATCAATGGTCTGCTTAAGTGAGGCCGGTGCTATAATAAACGAGCCGCCATCCCAAAGGGAAGGGAGCTGGCCCCATGGAGGAGGAGGAGAAGGGAAATGTACCACAGATACACACGGGGGCTGGGCACAGGACAAAGCAAGGAAAACGCTCAGGATCCAGCTTTCATAGAGACGCTGATGCCATGATAAGGAGCACACACATTTGGAGCTGTTCTCTTCCAAAAGACTGAGGACTTAGTGCTAGCAGGTCATCTGGTCTCCTACTGTCTCCTGACCCCCAGTACACACACATTATACTTATGCTGCTTTCAGCAGTGCCCTGGCCCCTGCTTGACCAGTGGAAAAGGAAAGAGCAAAGCTTCTCCTAGAGGCTGTGGGACATCAGGGAGCCCAGCAGCTGGTGGAATCTGCACTTAATGTTTTAAAGCACAAATGAGGCACATACTGGGCAAAGCCATTTTATACACTGAGTGGCCAGATTATTATGATCTCTGAACGCATAATAATCTGGCCACTCAGTGTGTGTGTGTGTGTGTGTGTGTGTGTGTGTGTGTGCGCGCGCGTATTTTAGAGGCCCAGTGCATGAATTCATACATGAGTAGGGTCTGGTCAGCCTGGCCAAGGGGAGGGGACATGGGTGGTTGGCCAGGCTGCCTGCTGGTTGAACTCCTGGTCGAGGGGACAATTTGCATATTAGCCTTTTATTATATAGGATATACACTGAGTGGCCAGATTATTAGCATTCAGAAATCATAATAATCTGGCCACTCAATGTATTCTTTCAGGCACTTCTAAGATCTTAAAGCCCTTGCAAGTGTATCTTCATCCCAGCCCCAACCATGCCCTAGGTCCTATGTGACAGTGGAATTTACAGGTTGCTTTACTTAATGGAGTGAGAAGAAAGAGAAAGAGAGTCTAGTGGCCCATGTTTTCCATCCTGATTCCACCCATCGGGGAAGCCTCTTGTCATAGCATGAGTGGGCCCTGAAGCCCAAAGAGGCCACCTGCCTCTTGCTTTTTGGCAGAAACAGCAGGGCACAAGCCCAGCATGAAGGCAGCACACAGGTGTGAGCCACTACCCACGGCAACCCTGCAGGTGCAGTGAGCATGCATCAGAGTGCATCCACGGCCAGCTGTGCTGCTCCACACTCACCCGGGACTTGACCATTGAGACAAAAGCCACTGACATCACTGCAAGGTCTTACTCACCCAGAATTTTACAAGGAAGAAGGCATTTTGAGGGCCCTTTCCAAACAGTTCCTTTAAGCCACCTTTCTTTTCAGGAAATTTGTCATAAATCTGACGAATGTCCACTGATTCGAGCAACGGGTCACTGTAAGAATGGTTGGCATGCCCAATGTGCACGAAGAGGTGTTTGTTGTACTGCAAGAAACCAACAGAGACATTCCCATTACAAACCCTTTAAACAACCTGGGGCACATGCATCTTGAACTGGATAAAGAGTAAGTAGTCTTAAAATCCTGGAATTATGCCTTGATTAGCTGAGGTCCATACCTTTGAAAAGATGAAGATGTTAGAAAAGTCCTTATAATTTAGGGCAAAAACAATCATTTTTAAAAAATTAAAGTTGACATACAATAATATATTAATTTCAGGTATACAATATAGTGAAACAGTCATTGTCTTTTATTGATAAGGGTATATATTTTTTCTATGCCTAAAAAGGCTTTTTGTAGACATAGTAAACAACAGCTTAAATTACACAACTATCAAACCAAAAGCAATTCTATTACCCAGTTTCACAAGACTCAGCTGAAAATGACAGTGACACCTTCTGGGGCCTGCTATTTATGGTGTAAACCCAATAAAAGTATGTGTGCAGTTAGCTAACATCATCACCCCAAATGCACTTCTCACTCCAGTTCCCCTAGCAGCAGCATGGATGCAGCCTTCTGAGCTATGGTGCCTACCTACTTCTTCCAGCAGGAATGAGAAGGCTGAGCCTCTTCTCATCAGTCCCCTTAGTAACCAATCTCAAACCTGCCCCAGGTCCTCAGGGCCAGTCAATATGTGGCTATCAGTGCAACATTAGGGTCAGGGGAGAGGATTCATGGCATAAGATTACAAAAGGTTGGTAACAAAGGAATATCAGTTATTCATAGTCACAAAAAAAAGAAACAAAAACACAAAACCTCTGAGAAGACATTTAACTTACAAAGGAAACCCTTTCTTTGCCTTGTTTTGGTATAAGATAAAGAAACTGGACCACAAAGGAGAATGTCCAAGCCAATGGTTCTCATCCAGGTTGCAGCAGAATTACCCACGAGCAGCATTTAAATATCACCAATGTCTGGGCTCCACCCAGACTAAATTGGAAACCCTGAGGAGGCCAGACATCAGTGATTAGGCAAATTCCAATATGCATTAAGTTTGAGAACCTCTGGCCTAGATGCTCTGCTTCAGATCCTCCCTGCCCACCCTTCCTGCTGTACAGGCCATAGATCCATCTAATGGGACACAGACAAAGACATCTGGGGGTGCACGGGTTCCAGGGAGCTCAGAACTTAATAGGGTTCAAAGAGAAAACCTCGTGTCTCTATTTGCTTAGCAGACCCTACTCACTTTTTGAGTTTAAACTGGCATTTCTCCAAAGACTCAGAGTCTTTCTGAGTATTGATCCCATGGAAGCCCCAAATAAAAGAAGGATTGGCTAGGGCAGCCTACCAAGAGTACTGCAAATCAGCTATGACACCGGGCAAGTGCTTCCCCGTGCCTGAAATGGGGAGAGTGATGGCATCTACTCCATAGGGTGGCTGTAGGATTTAAATGAGACACTGCTTACATAGAGCATACTAGAATGCATAGATCCAACAAAGAGTAAACCTTCAACAATGCTGGCTCTAACGATTTTTTAATAGAACCTCCTTTTCTGAGATTCACAGTGAATATTAGCATATTAAAAGCACTGTAGTAAAAAGACACTTTTTAAAAACTTGTATAACCCAAAGTTTTCCAAATTCATTTGATCATAACCCTGTAAAGATATCCTACGGAAGTGCTGGTTCGAATATGTGACCTGCTGCCCACGCTGCGGATTCTGGCCACAACGCCAAAGGTGAGAAGCCCAACCCCCTTCCCCCGGTGGTCCACAGTGTTGCATGCCTGACTTATGTGACTTATGGGGAGTGTGGCCAGGGCCTGGCATCTTCTGGGAGAAGGCTAAGCCCCTCTCACATTCAACATCAGAGAGCTATCTTTTTTTTTTTTTTTTTTTTTTTAAATATATTTTATTGATTTTGTACAGAGAGGAAGGGGGAGAGATAGTTAGAAACATCGATGAGAAAGAGTCATTGATCAGCTGCCTCTTGCATACCCCCCACTAGGGATGTGCCCACAACCAAGGTACATGGCTTTGACCGGAATCGATCCTGGGACCCTTCAGTCCCCAAGCCGACGCTCTATCCATTGAGCCAAACCAGTCTCGGCCAGAGAGCTATCTTAACCAAGGCTTCAAAATCTCTCAAAGGCATCAGCTGACATGAAAAACCAAGTGGAACGTATCAAGCTTTGACGTGGTCCCCACCAGGGGACTCTCCAGTGGACTGAGACCTGGAAACTATTGTGAAAGAACAGAGTGTGCCTGTGCAGGAAGAGAAAGGAAAGAATGTTTACACAAAGTCAAAGCATGGCTGTGTTAGGGAGGTGAGGCTATGGGGTGGGGCAAGTGGCTTTGATCTTTCTGTAGGTTTTCTCTAATACTGTCTGTCACATCATTCTTTCAGTTACAAACAAATAAAAAGCCCACAGAAACAGAAACGTATAAAGCACAACTGCTAAGGAGCTTCCAGTCTCATCAGAGGATAAAAGGAGATGTGCAATGTGCTTTCTACATATGTGGTCTCAGGTACTCCTTTCCTCACAATGACACTGTAGGCAGGTTTTGTTAAAGTCATTTTACAGATAAGGAAATAGAAGCTTAGAGATGAACGGACCTGCCTGAGGTCACACATCCAGGATTAGTCCTGGAGTTAAGAATAAAACTTGGATCTGTCAACGCCACGGCCCATGCATTTGGTGCAAATACCAACCACGTGGTCTCCCAGAAGAAAATGCCCAGACTCTTCTAATGCAGATCTACTTTGTTTTGAAAGTTGATTTGAGAAAAAAAAAATGAAAGAAGCTAAATAGTGTTTTCAAAATTCTAAGATGTTAAATTAGAATTCGGGAGAAACGTAATGATTCACAGATGCATCAGATAGCGTCTTCAAAGGTTTCTATTTTGAGGAAATTACCTTTGTGCCCAAGTGGCTGAAAGGAACTGAGAAGGGGCAGGCTGTCTTTGCCAAAGGAAATCGGGCACTGACTCTCCAAGGCTGGTGACTTGAAACCAAACCCTGACTGTTGGCATCTGAGCGGCTTTGTTCCTGCCAAGAGGTGACTTTGTTGCTAAGAATACCAAGGACTAAAGAAGGTGTCCTGGAGACCACAACAGTGAGACAAACAGATCTCGCTCTCCCCCTAACTCAACCTGGACAGGTCAGGAGTCCCTGTGCCCTCAAATCCAGAGGCTGGGGGGGGAAAAATCTATCTGATAGGTGTGGGTTCAAGTTTTAATGAAATTAGAATTTCTACAAACCATTTGCTGAGGCTCCACCTACTACTTCCATCCTGCCAGTTCTCCTTAGAAGGGAAGAAGAGACACTTCCTTCCCTCTCTTTCTCCCCTGCCCTCCCATATAAATCCTATTTGCTTTCTAGTAGGACTGGTTACCCAAAACTAAAGGTGGGGCACCCCCCCCCCCCCAAAAAAAAATAATTCTATTCTGTAAGGCAAATAACAAATATTTGAAAACAACAACAAACCAAAGCCCCAAGTGTTGGGGGTAATATATACACTAAGCACTGTGCTGGGCACAGGGAATCCGTGAGCCAATCCTTCAAAGTCCCTCTCTTCATAGACCCTACAGTGACTAGACAGAGCTAGCTCACTGCCTCTATAATCAATCATGTATTGCCCATGTAAACATGGGTTCTCAAAGATTCTTAGAGAAAAGGTTGAGGTTAAAGGCAATCAACATCCCCACTCTTACACGTTACAGGACCTAAATCAGCATTTATCTGCTTTTTTATATGGATGGCTCTATTCTCCAACATTAAACACACAGTGTTATTCATTAGCAAAGAGCACCTGTATGGAACTCACCATGGAAATGTGAGTTAAGTTTCATATCTTTAAGGCAAAACTTTGATAAAAACCAAGCCATCCATCTCATGTGAGAGTATAACACACTTTCAGATCTGTAAGGTTTCAAAAAATTATCTTTGTAACCATTCTCGGTTAGCTATAAAAGGATACGTTCCTGTGAAATGGAGTAAATCAGAACAGAGGGAGGTGGGCCCTGACGCAGGAGAGAGGAAGAGGAACTCACTGACCAACAGCAGGGCTGCTCACCCAGACAGAGACTGGTCCAGTGGGTGAGGAGCTGGAGGGGACATGGAGGGATGTCACCAAGGGGATGTAGACCTGAGAGATTACCTGACTTATGTGACCCTCTAGAGAAGAGTTTGAGAATTCTGTTAGACATTGTGAGGATGATTTCATCTAATGTAAAAACTGAACAAATTAAAAAAAAAGTAGCAACGACAAACCCTAAAATAACAAGCTTTACAATCAAGAAATGGTTCGAATACATCACACATTAACCATGCCGTGTACAGAACTGGCACAGGTTTGTAATATAAACACTGAACATTGAACCAAAACTTGTGATATAACCACACTGGTAGGGTTGAAGTAAGGGGGGAGGGCGTGCCATATGCTAAATTTAGAGAGCGAAGTCCTGATCTTCCACAGTAAAAAGTCAACAGAAAATGTCTAAAACTGGTGGACTGAGATATATAGGATAAGCATGTTATTTAGAAATATGCAGATGATATCTGAAGAACTGGCCAAAGGGCTGTAAGCTGCTGTCCCTAAGGAGGAGGGCTGAGAGGTGGGAAGAACTGGGGCAGGGGCTGCTGCTTTTCCTCAGGCCATGAGTGAGGCTCAATTTGGCTTATATATAAAGCATATGTACTAACTACCTTGAAACAACCTAGATTTATTTGAGGAAGGGATAGAACTATAAAGGGAAACAAAAACATTACAAGTCGTGCCTCAGGTTGTTTACTCTAGCTCACCACGATTCCCTGGACCTGAAAGGAACTTAGTCAGATCACAGAGCCTTCCTAAGGCTCAACCTCTCAGGACAACTGGCCAGAAGAGGGGACCTTTGTCTGCCTGCAAGGTTCACCCAAAAGAATGAAGTTGCACCAGCAAAATCCTACCTGGATCAGTTTGACAGGTGCTTAGCAGCACCTGACACAACCTTAATACACAGATTTCTCTTTCAACTTGGAGAAATGCTCATTTCCTCTTTTTAT